TAGAAAGATGGAGGTATTGTCTCAATGGTAAGTTGCACTTATTTAAGTGTCTTAAATTAATTATCTTAATGTGTCTGAAGATTGAAAGGTCGTGAATGAATAATATGTATATGTAACTATATGAAGTGATGCTGTATATAAGATGTCCGCATGCCCATAGATGTGGTGCCCATAAAATGTTTAATAAAAATGATAATTTTCTTTTCTTTTTTTTTCTTTTAAGGTTTCAAAAGGGCGTGCTGCGACCTGGGATGATGCAGAGACTGAAGCTCTTATTGCACTTTGGGTGGAGGACGCTATCTAGGCGATGTTGGACGGAACAAAACATAATCACAGAGAGCAGTAGTACCGTAGATCACCACTAGGAGGCCGTAAGGAACCGAGCTCGGCGCGGTTAACTGGTCCTAGCCCAGTCCGAACTCGGCACGGATCGGTTTCAGAGGGTAGTGGATTTAATTATCCACACTTTCTATTGGTCTGATTCCATATGGACACTCATTGGTATATTCAGTGACCCAACAGAGGACCAACAGAGAGCGCCGTCTCACCGTCATCCAGGATGACCATCAGCGGCGCCAGCAGGTCACACATGCCCTGAACGTAGCCCATCTCCAAATGCTCCCACACGTAGCTGCAGACAGAGACACAGGAGCTTCATCAGAACCTTCGGCTCAGCAGGTTCTGCTGCAGATCCTTCAAACAGCTCAGAACATTTTCACTTTGAACCAATTCTGAGGAGCCAAACCTCATCTCTCATAAGTAACATCTAACTGCATGAGTGAAGCCAGTTTATTAGCCGTCTGTCTGCTGATCAGAAGGCCATGCAGGTCGGTGTCTTCCTGTTTCCTCTACCTGCACATGACGTTGCGTAGTCTCTCCAGGTTGGCAGTGGTGAAGTAATAATAGTTGCGATCACAGCGCTGCACATCTTTGTCTATTCTGTGGAGGTTGAGGGCCACCGTGTCCAGGAGCTCGATCTGTGTGAAGAAACAAGGTGGGTCAGCACCGCTGTATCTGCTCCAGGAGGACGACCTGAGGCCGCTTCCCAGTAAAGATTTGAGATGCAGAGAGAAACTATCCAAAATGGTTCCGATCTGTGACTGAGTGGCGATGAAGCTAGAAATAACTGATGGATCATCTCCATCCAGCTGGATGTGAAGCATTTCAAAGACGTCATTAGTTCCGTTTATCTTCACGCACCGTGTAAGAGGACAGAGAGGCGGACATCCCCTCAGCGGCTGCTCCGCTCGTCACCAGTTTGTCCAGCTGACTGCACAGCTTGTCCTCCATCAGAGAGTCCTGACGCCCCCCCACTGAGGTCCCCCCTTCCTCCTCGGTGCTCTGACCGTCGTCTATGCTGGACAGGATCTGAGAGTGAGCAGAAGTCACAGAGTAGTTCCTGGAGGAAGGGAGGCCTGAGTCGGGGGAGTCAAACTCTACCAGAGGACGCTCCTCTGGGGGCCCAGCAGTGGGCGGGGCCAGGGTGGTCATGACAGGAGTGCCGTCTTCTCCACTGGGTGTCTCCTGGCTCCCAGCATCCGGCTCGTCCACAGACATAAAGACCTGAGAAGGATGAGAGAGAAGGAACCTGGAGTTTAGAACCGTTTGGTCTTCAGTTGGAAGAAAACGGTTCAAGGACTAAAGAACATAAACCCAGTTTACTTCATGATTTCAGTCTTTAACTTAACAGAGCTGCTGCTTTTCCTCAAAGCACTGGAGGGTGGTTGGGTAGCTGCATATTGCCACCAGCTTGCGTGGTGATAGTTGGAGGTATTACCAGCAGGTGGCGCCACATCTCTTTATATCAGCTCATTTCTACTGGTGGTCAATTTCTAATTAGGCTCGACAATAAGCATCCCCAAAGTCGGTCCTCAAGGGCCCCTGTCCTGCAGGCTTTAGAGCGGCCCCACCCACCCAATGACCTTGATTAAGACATAAAAAAACAAATAAAAATGAAATTATAAAATTTAAATATTTTGAAATATATTGATTTATATTTTTTAAGTGTGCAAGATAAATATTTAATCTTTAATGACAACAAAAGCTGTTTAATTTTTTGTCTTTGGATTTGTGACGTATTTACGAGCCGGGGGTGCAAATATCTTTGGCCATAGACTCTGGTTAAAAGCGCAGTAACTCCTCTGCAATACAAAGGTATAGGAGAGCTCTG